CCCCCACCAAGCACTAGACTAACCAGCCAGACCTGTCCCGTTTAGGCAGAAGTAGCAGCTGCTGCAGGAGTGGAGAGCCTAGGCTTGGCCCTGCCTCCTGCTCGAGGGCACACAATCCTCCCTCAACAGCCAACGGAAAATTAGCCACAATTAACACCAGAGGCCTCGGTTTCCATTGCCTCAGAATCCAGACCTCTCCTTCTTTCAAGGCTACCTTTCCTCCTAACTCAAGCACCCGGTCCTCTTATGCAGGGAGGCCCTGTAGGATTGTGTCTCTGGGAGCTCTGGTGCAGAAAGCCCGAGATGTGAAAACAGAGTGGGACTGTAATAGGAAGTCGGTAAGGCGCCATGCTCCAGCAGCCAGCTTTCCCTAACCCCAGGGACTTCGGTTAATATGAACATGGAAACGCAGGCTGCCGGGGCAGTGGCGACGGCAGGCCAACTGGCTAAGGTTCAGGGAAATGGCCTCGGTCACCACCAGCTGGGGGTGGGGCACGCGCCCTGGGACTTCACAGTCTGTTAACTCCTCTCCCTGCTCTACCAGGAGGTTCCCGAACTTGGGAAGGCGCCGGTGGTGGGAAGACGCAAAAGCTGAACGGCGAGGAAAGGAAAGAGACGAAAATAAAGCAAATCTAAGTCCCAACCTCTGTCTCACCAGCTACTCAATGCTGGCCTGGAGCCCAGACTCTCCCACATCTCCGGCTCGGATCTGGGGAAGACAGGGCGGGAGGAAGGCAGGCGCGGAGCGGGAGGGTGGGGGGTGGAGCCTGGCAGTCAGAAAAAGGAGGAGGAGTCTCTAAGAAAGCCTCGCCTCCCGCCCGCCCCTCTCCTAATCTACCATCAATCTCTCACACATATATTTATTTTTGCCCAAATTCGCCTCCCTCCCCCACAACGAACCACCATAATAGGTCTGTTGCACATGCGTATTGCATGCAGGGGGTGGGTTTGTATTTTCAGGCCTTTTGCAAAGAAACTACCAGAATTTTCCGCACCACCCACAATCATTCCCCACCCCCACCCCCGAGGAATCACATCTATATATTATATTATATTATTTCTCTACACTTGCCAGAAGGGAGAGGGAGAAGAAATGAGTTTTTGGCTTCCTGCTCCCTTCCCCCATCAACGCGAGTGCTATTATTTTAAACGTTTAACAATGTAAGGAGACTGGAGAAGAGGGGGAAGGGATAACATCGGTCTTGGGTAAGAATGTAAAACAAAATGGTGAGAACTAAAGCAGTTAGAATGAAAATACAAGCCTCTAATATCTAAAATTCATATTCTAGAAAAGGGTGAGGGAGGACAACCTGAACAAATTTCCTGAGAGAAGGGTTATTTTCCCGACACTTAGAAATAATTAGCAGACTAAAAATATTTTCTCAAAGTTTTACCTCAGAAAGTCATCTGAGGGGGTGTATCTGGGTCACTCATTTGACTTGGAGGGCTGAAAGGGAGATAAAATTGCCCTGGGAGAGAGGGGAGGCGGGTTTTCATTTCAAATAAAAATTTAAAGCATTTGACATTTCTTCTCATCTATTCAGAAGCAAAGAGGAAGAGGGGGAGGGAATATTGACACAAAGACCCACCTCAACCTTAAGATTCTTTCATGCTCCTCTCTGTCACATACCCAAATCCGGGTTCAAAACCCCCAAAATACCACAACCCAAATTCAGATTACAAGTAGGTGAGAGTTGCCAATCCCCTAACTAAACCTGACATCCTTTCTTTCTCTGTTTAGCACCTCTGTTGTTTCCCAAGCAACCCCTACCCCCAATTCTTTATTCCTTTCCCCTCATGCAAAATCAGTGGGCGCTCTAGAATAACTTAAAAAGAAAACTTTTCCCTTTTCAGACAAGCCTAGGCAAAAAAAAAATAAAAAGACTATCCCCTCCCCCCCCCCATTTAGAAATCTCCTCACACTCCCTCCTTCAAAGGCTGCCTCAGCAGGACTGGAGTTTGCCACATAAGGCAGAAAGATCGATAACGACAGCTATACAAAGAAAATAGTGTTGGAAATTTTGAAGTTTGGTGCATTTGTGCTGCATGGCACCCAGAGGTCTGGGGGTGTGGATGTCCCCCTTTCAATCCCCAGGCAGGCAATGTGAACACCGTGATGCTCACCTATGCTAAAAAAAAAAACTAGAAATAACCCAACTAGAAGACGGTCTGAGTGGGGCCACCGGCCGGGTGCCTGATGCGAGGCAGCGGTCTGTCCCCTCCACCGCTGGTGGAGCTACCCAAAAAGTGCAGGGTGACTCCTCATCCCGAGGGAGAGGTTCTGAGTGATGGTCAAGCTGCAAAACAGCTGAGTGGGCAATTCACGCCCCCCAACGTGGTCTGGGTGCGGGTGGTTTTAGCGGAAGAGTGACAGGAATGGCAGCCACGTGAGAGTCACAGCTGGGCAGCTCGGCCACCCTAGACTGACTGGGTCCTGGGGGGGCGCACTTGACACAAAGAGCCCAGGGCAGGGGAGTGACGAAGGGGGTGGAGTTGGGGGGCGGATTTCGGTTTCCCCAAGCACTCTCCTCTCGCTCCCCAATCTTAAGTGACGCCGCTCCTCCTAATACAAGTTGGGGGTGGGGGGGAGGATGAAGTCTGATTCCAGGAAGTGGTCTGCGTGGAGTGTGGCCACCACCTGCCCCTAGTCATCAGCTGCCCACGAACATCACACGACCCCTCCCCACGTGCCACTGCACGCCCCTAAATTGGCGGGCACCGAAGTCCTCGCAGGTGGGGGGGATCCGATGGACACCATCAACCCCCAGCCTTCCCAACTCCTCAGGGGAGGGAATCTAGGAACGCCACTCGCAAAAACTCGGTATTCCCTCAGTCCAGCCCCAGCCGGGCCGAAGCCCGAGGGGCGCTCGCGCGGCCGCCCCTCCCCCCACGCGCCCCTCCCCCCACGCCGCCGTCCGGCCGCCAGGGTCTCCGCGGTCCCTCGCTCGGCCAGGGAGGGGGCCCTGGCTTCGCCTCGGCCGTTTCCTGCCTACCCCC